TGTTTCACAATTGGTTCCTGCTGGGTTGGTTCGCTCCCAAAGATCCCTGTTGCTGATCTTTTCTGGCCGGCCATCTGATCTTGAGTATTGAGCGAAGACAGCTATTGATGAAGGTCTGTAGTTTGTTTGAGATGCTGTTTATGACGCGCCAAGTCTTTGATCTGTCTAGTAACACTGACTTTACATTGGAGTTGAAAATCCGGATGTTATTTTTCATGCTGTGTGTGCTGTTGACCTCCACACAGACTTGAGAGTAGTGAAAGCTTGTCTTGCTTTCCCGATCCTTGCTTTGATATCCTCGTCAGTTCCGTCCGCCTGTAGTTGAAACGATGCTTCCCAGGTAGGTGAAGGAGGTTTTTTCTTTCAGGTTCCTCCTGTTTATGCTGATTGTTGTCTGTTTTTGCTGCTGTTGGTGTTGCCCAATAATCTGCATCACCTCTGTTTTCCCTATGTTCACCTGAAGTCCTATCTTTGATGCTTCTTCTGTCAACTTGTTGCTTTTCACTTGCTTGCATACTTAAACTTTTCATTCAACGATATAGATGACTGTGATTTCCTTCAACATTTCAAGTTAATTCATAAACTAGGTCCCTTAAACGATTACTGAAGACCAGGGCTTACCGGATTGAACAGTTATTTCCTCCTAGTTCGAGACTCCCGACTAGAGTCATGAGTAGAAAATGAGTCAACCCAAGTCATTTAGATTATGAAGCGAGTCATTGAAACAGCATCCATTGACCCATAAATCTTAATCTCTGTCAGTTAATGATATTGGCTAGTATCTGTAAGCATACCTGACTTACTGGAAGCTATTGATCACAAGTTTTCACTAGGACTCTTAGAAATCCTGGAGAGAAGATAATTATAACTAGTATTTTATGTTACATTAGTCGATATCATTAAAGAAACCCTATGCGCATGCGTTTTGATTTCTACTTACCCCTCCCTCCTTTCAACTCTCACACTTCTTTTCGCATATTTCCTTATATATATATATATATATATATTACTGGCTTATCGATGTAAGGGAGTGAGTCGGCTGAAGATTGTACGCCGAACCACATGGGGCATGGTTGATGAGCATTTTCTCATGACCCTGGTTCGGGATGTGAACATTGACGTAAATTGTTGTTTACAATTTTGGTTTGCGACCAGCTCTTAGTATAATATTACTGACAAACAGTTAGTGCCTCCGGCTTCCATAATTGCCGAAACCTAACAACCCCTGTAGCATTCGGTTTTACCTTGTAGAAAATTTTAAAAGACGACTGTGATGGGGTTGTGTAACTTGATTTCATCAAGTGCTCCAGAATTCAGCTAGTAATTATCTTGCATTGTCCTGTTGATAAACATATCAGAGAGTGTTCAGAGATGCGTTTAGTAAAGTGCACACTTTATGCGACCAATAAAAATGCACAGTGAAGGAGCTTTTGAACATGACTACGATCATAAAGAAAATTTTATTCTCGGAATTGTCTTTTATTTTCATCATTTTTCTGATATTTCCAACAGAATAATAACAGAAAAGTAAACTTTTGTAACTTGTAGAGCAGATTTGTCTCGACTAGGCGACTTTTTCAAACCGATTTCAACTGCTGATAGTAAAACTATCTGAGATACTCTTGTGTTGACAGGCTTTGATTGATGAAATGGGTGGTGACTGATGGCGGAGTGAAAATCTGTGTCATTTTTTTATTGAACACTAGCCAGTGACTAGTGTAATGTGTGTTTCTAGTCCTATCTTTGATGCAGACTGAATTCTATCAGTCTATCAAGTTTGCAATGTGGCCACCATGGTAGCTAGGTGGCTCGCCATCACGGCATACTGTGAATTGTTTGTATTAGATGGATGGAGGCAACTGGACACAAGAAGCCTTGCCTGATCTAAGTTTCGTGCTAGTTGGCATTCACCAGTCAATCAGCAAGGCGTATCTGTAACTGCCTTGAATGAATTGATGTCCTCCTGAGATTCAAACCTGCGTCACCCAGTGAGTGCTGCAGTAAGTCAGAGACGTTACCTCTGAGCAGCTATTCAGGCTAGCGATTGACTTGACTGATAGAATTCAGTCTTCACCAAAGAATGGATGGTACATAACTACTCAATTCAATCAATCAGTAGTATATGCCTTTATTACTAGTGTCCAATAGATGGTGTACACTGTCACTATTTAATGTTTGTGAGTCCTTTAGTCTCAGATTCTTGGGTATATGTTCAGAAATGCGGAGATCAACCCTTCTTTTCGTTCTTCCGCTATATATGTGCCTTCTCACGTACATTTAAACTGGTTCATGTAATTTGAGGTTAAGAATTTCTAAACTTTGGATTGTTTGATAAGTACAAATAGGCTTAGCGACTAGATATGTTCTTTTCAGTGCAACTTGCAGTCTCTAAGGAAGCAAGCAAAGATCGGAAAAGCAAGACAAGCTTTCACTACTCTCAAGTCTGTGTGGAGGTCAGCAGCACTCAGCATCAAAAATAAGATCCGGATTTCCAACTCCAATGTAAAGTCAGTGTTACTAGACAGATCAGAGACTTGGCGCGTCATAAATAGCATCTCAAACAAACTAAAGACCTTCATCAACAGCTGTCTTCGCTCAACATTCAAGATCAGATGGCCGGCCAGAAAAGATCAGCAGCAGAGATCTCTGGGAGTAAACCAACCAGGAACCGATTGTGAAAAAATAGACAGGAAGAAATGGAGATGGATTGGCCATACTCTGAGGAAACCATCAAGTGACATTACTAGACAAGCCATTGCTCGAGTGGAACCCGGCCGAACGGGAGGCGGCGAGGTGGTCGTCCAAGGGTGACTTGGAGGAGGTCATGTGAATAAGAGATGAAAGCATGTGAGTAGACTTGTAGCCACATGAAAACGTTGGCGGAGAACCGAACGCAGTGGAGACGTCTGGCTGAAGCCTTATGTTCCTCTAGGAATTAAAGAAAATAATAATCCAGTCTCTATCCTATTTTATTAACAAAATATCATCAACTTTGAATTGAAGACAAGCTGCAGAAAGATGGGCTTTTAGTCCTCGTTTTGTGCAATTCACTCTTTCCATATTACATTTTCCGTATGTTACCGATGAACTGTCACGCAGGTGGTTTTTCTCACAAAGGATAACTCTTTTTCGAGTTCTTCCTTCTATGAAAATCTTTCTTATACTACTGAACATTGTTCTAACTAATCACTGTTTAAAACTTATTGAGCAGAAGCTTTTGAAGTTCAGACTAAATTCCCTCTCTTACTCTTCCCTGATATAGTACCTTGAGATTTTTTTTACTGTCTATATCATGTTGGATACCGGGAAGGGGGGGACCAAGAAAACTTAACCCGTCGTCATTTTCAGACTCTATCCTAAACTGATTAAAATGCTATGCTGACAAATTTATCAAGAAACACATGACAATAAAAGCGGAAAAGTACTACTCACTATCCGTAAACAAGAAGCCTTTATTCATACGACTGCAATTCAAGGGCGATCGATATACCAAGTGAGATAATTACGAAGAAATTAAGAAAATCAGTTCAAAGAACTTTTAATGCTGGTGAACTGCAAGTCTTATTCTCTACACGACCGATGGTGCTACCTCGACTGAAAGATGAAGTACCTAGACTAACCACTTCAAATTGTACCTATCAATTCAACTACGCTTGTGGAGCGAGTTAAATTGACCGTTGCTCTAGGAACTTGATTTTTCGTGCTCGAGAACATATTCCACTATGGATAAGTAAAGGTTAGTTAAAACTATTAACAGCTCGATATTGGACCGTCTGGTGCAAACCGGTCACAAAGCCAGAGTAGAAGAATCCTTCTCTATAATATACCGGGTGCCTAACAAATTACCAAAATCGTCAAAGCACCGCATGCTCCAAATAGCAGAGGCTATTGCAATTCGCCTCAAACAACCAGTGCTCTGTGTCCAAAAGAAACAAGTCCAGCTCCTACTGCTGCCCTGGCCCTAAGAAGAGACTATAAATTCATGAATTTGTACCATTACCTTTCCTGATTCTCCTGACATTCAGTTTATTTTATGTTGATGCTGTTCAGCTGTAATTTATCAATATTTATCAATATTATTGATTTGATGTTGTTTAAACATTAATGTCATTCATAAGACTAATTCATTCATTCATTATAATGTATATATAATTGTAGAGCCTGATGATGAATTTATCGAAAAGAGTACTCTTTGTTCAGTATCCATTCTATCTTAAAATTTATATTAGCATAAGCACTATTCAATAGCTCTAATATTTCAAAGGCGTTATTGAAACAATCACAAATGACAAAGGTGTCACTGACATAGCTGACATAGCTGTCTGTCTAACTGATTGCGGGCTTCATTCTTGTTCGTTCCTTTTAACGCTAAATAGTTTAACAACTTACTTCGTTTTGGACGCATGCTACGTATGTAGATCCTATCAGTTACTCCTTGTTCAGGTCAATTGAGAAGAAACCTTGGAAATAATCATAAAGAATGCTTTAATTTGACATTAGTTAGTAACTAGCGCCATCAGTCTAATCACCGGTGTTGGTGCAGACTGAATTCTATGAGTCAGTCAAGTTTGCAATGTGGCCACACAATGCTAGGTGGCTCACCATCATGGTTTACTTTGAATCGTTAATGTTAAATTGTTCGAGATAATCGGCTACAAGAAGCCTTGCCTGACCTAAGTTTCTTGTTTATTGGCACTTGGCAGCGGCAATGCGTATCCGCAGTCTTGGAGGAACTCATATCCCTTCGACAGAATTCAGTCTGCAGTAAACAAAAGACTAGACTCATGGTACTAGTCACTGACTAGTGTCCAGTCAGAGTATCCAATACAGTGCAACAAGGAGGTCAATTGCCAGCCCGAATAGCCGCTCAGTGGTAACTGACTGGTGAGTGCCAACTAGCACGAAACCTAGGTCAGGCATGGCTTCCTGTGGTCGATTGCCTCCAACCATCTAATACCAACAACATATATATATGAAATGTATCACATGAAGTACAATTTTTAACCAGAAAACTCACTGTTCATTATTATCGTCTCCGAATTCTCATCATAAGTACCATTCACCGATTGACTAGTATTCGCCTTCATTTGAATATCACTTTGCTTATCTAATTCTTGAGATGATGCTTTTTTAGTACTTAACAAATCTGCATAACCTGACTGTGAATTCTTTGATCTCTGATCTTCTGCTGCTGATGGTAGTGGTGGTGGTGACGATTTCAATGGAGCTTTTCCATTTGGATAATTTAATGATTGATGCAACAATTCCACACTGTTATCTTGTCCTCCAATAGTAGTATCCTCTTTAATACTCCATTTTGGTAAAGTATTATCCTCTTCTTCGGTGTTAATTTGATTCTCTGGTGATGATGATAATAATAACAGCTTCCGACTCGGTGATCTGTCAGACTTATCCATTTGGTTGGATTGTTTAAAGCATAAAAAATCTGGTGGGAGGATACTTGAAGCACGAAATTTCAATAGTTTACTGTCATTTTCACCAGTGTTACAAATGGATAAAATTAATTCACTCGTTATCTTCACATTTTTAATCGCCTCTCCATCGTCTTTTGTTTCAATTAGAATTTCCAGGGTATTTTCGCATAGATTTACCATTCGACTTTTATGTGATGATGGTGATGTTGGTCTAGAGTAATCCATTGGTGGTGGTGCTGATGATATTTGAAACTCTGATGCTGTCTGTTCATTCATTTCAAAATCCGAGTGACATTTATTTGTAATTTGAACAGGATTTTGTAATTCTGAACGACGATCAGTTGTTAGTAAACAAGTTGATGCAATCTCTAGACTAGGCTGTAATCTAATACTCGATGGTTGATCGTGTATTTCATCAATATCTGAAGACAGTCGGAAACTAATCACACTACTTGAAAATAACGATATTTCAGGAGGTATCACGTTCACCGGTAGGAATTGTTTGTCAGATTCAATATATGACGTATGTTGAATACCTTCAACTGTACTCTGCATTTGTAGATCCCTGATAGGTTGGCTAAAATCCAACTGTGTTTGTACAGTTGGCTGGGATATTCCAGTAGGTGATACGCTGACTGGTAGGGTTTGTTTGTTAGACTTTATCTTTACCATCTTTTGCTCATCTTTTTTCTCGTCAATATATGATTGATGGCGCATATTTTCAACAATATTCTGTATTTGTGGTTCCCTAGTAGACTGGATAATCTCCGATTGTGTTCGTACAATTGGTTGGGGTTGTTGAATTCTTTTATCAGAGTGTAAATCTTCTTGAACTTCACGGAGATCACTGTCTGTCGATGTCTTCTGAAATAATTTTTGGTAGATTTTAGTCTGGTCTTGTTGATTATATTCCTCAGTGTTATCATCATTTAATGTTGTAGGAATTTCTGCTTTGATTCCATCGTTTGATATTTGACCGATATAAGCCTCTTGGTTATTTGTAACACTTTTACCGTTTACATCAGATGCATTAACATCGTCGAGTACTTCACTTGTTAATATATTTTCTGGTTGAATAGAACTTTCATATGGTTTATCTTTTTCATACTCTTCTGAAGGAATATGTTTCATAATGGAGTGTACTTGTAAATCTCTTAGACTGGTAGTATTCTCTATATTATCCTCCAATTCAGTTGTAACAATCGCGTCTTTATCTTGTTTCTTGTACATTTTTCCATGAATTAAATCAATTACTGATGTTATTGATATATCTGTTTTACAACTGTCTTTAATCCATGTTGTTGGCGATGAATTGGAATCTTTTCTTTTAATTTTCAGATTAGGTGAATCACGATGATTGTCCGGAGGCAAGTGTTCTTCACTAGTACCACTACGATATTTCTCCTTAAACTTTTCATTCCTTTCTGATACACTTCGTGATTTTTTATCACTATATTTACTCTCCGTCTGCTCATCAGAAAAACAGTAGGGAATATTGACTTCTGCTTGAATACTAAGACTACAACAATCCTCAAAATCGACGACTTCTTTACGTTTCTGTCGTTTTAAACTTATTGATAAAGAGATTTTAGGGGAAGTTTGTTGTTGTTGCTGTTGTTGTTGTTGTCCATAGGCCTCATTAGGTTCATCGTCTTTACTGTGAACTTTTTGTGTTACAAGAGATAAGTTAGTGTTTGCAGAAGTATTGGGTGGAGGAATTATTTCCATGTTTTGTGTTGAATAAATATGCATTGAAGTTAATTCTACTGGCCAAGTTATCAGTGTACTGCTGGAGACAATCACTTTGTCGAGTAAATTATTCTGATTAATTGTGACCAATCGAGCGTGTTCTTCTTTACTTCCACCGCCAAGTGGGCTACTGTGAATAGATTCTTGATTGATTGGTTCAGCTAATGAATTTGATTTCATTTATACTGAATTCTTTAATGTTTATTTAATCAAGTCATGTGAGAAGTTTTATTTTAATTTTATGACTAAATATTATTAATATTTCAGTATATCCATGAAAATATATATAAATATATCTTGCACTTCATTATATGTCTTATTATATTCCCGTGAAAGTTAATAATTTATCCGGCCATACTTTTATATTATGATTATATTCTGCTTTATTCACTCATTGTCCAATAGAAATTTAAATGAGGAATTAATCAATAAATTATGTAGGCATATATATATATATATATATATAAGTAAACTTGGTATATGTATACTAGGATGAAATCAGCTCACCGTCATGGTGACCTACCCGGAATGCTGGTCGAATTGCAAACTTGATTGATAGAATTCAGTCTACACTACACGAAGGACTAGACAGACAACACTATTTACCAGCTATTGTCCAATCGAAGTATCCAATAGAGTCCCACCAGGAGAATAAACTCCAGCCCGAATAGCTGCTCAGTGGTAACGTCTCTGACTCACTGCAGCATTTACTGGATGACGCGGGTTTGAATTTCAGAAGGGACATGAGCTGTTCCTTCAAGGCAGTTATAAATACGCCTGCCTTGCTGACTGACTGATAAGTGCCAACTAGCACGAAACCTAGGTGTCAGGCAAGGCTTCTTGTGACCGATTGCTTCCAATCATCTAAAATCACCTCATTCTTTATTATTATTTTTCAGTTTCTTCTCAACTAAACAACACAAAATTATGCAGATTATATAAAAGATTTGAACGTATTCTTTTCGAGGTGACAAATGGTTAACTGATAGGAACGATAGATAGCATAGAACCGGATATTATTATTATTGTATCCTTTAATTCCTAGAGGAACATAGGGCTTCAGCCGTGCGTCTCTATTGCGTTCGGTTCTCTGCTAGAGTCTTCACCTGGCTCCAAGTCTGCCCACACGTTTTTATCTCCTCTTCACATGACCGGAAGGATGAATGAATTAAAAAGACTGACTATTTATAGGATAATTAGACGAATATTGCCGGAGAAAATGGCAGAGCTCATAAATTTTTGGATGAAAACAAAGTTTAACTATAAAGTGTATACAATTGTTGGTTTGCAGGCGTTTGGTTTGTAGGGATTTGATTGATTACAGGATTTCATCATGAACTGATATCTGTTAGAGAACAAATGCTACACAAAATATGCCTTGATAAAATAGGTAAACTGGAGTAAGGTGAGTATTGTTCAAATGGAATAGTAAAAAATTTTAAAAAGTATAATAAAGGATATAGAGGAATATGATTTAATATTACCAAGGGTAATACTGACTTGCAGTCACACCTTCATAGCCTAATCCAAGTAATTCTTATTCACTGCTCTCATTGGTTGGCATTGGTTGGTCATAAAAAGGTGAACAGAATTCGCGTAAAAGTTCTGCAGATAGCCATTGGATAGATGAATGCAAGTTTCACTGAACAAAGCAGGGAAATCACTGATTCCAAACCAGTACTTTGCTGAAACTCTAGAGTCTGAAAGGAACCAATAGCAGGGGAATCTTATCTGGTGACTAGCAAACATGTGAGTACAGTTCTTATCGTTGTTCTGCTACCTTGCGGTCAGACTCTCAGTTAAAGACTTAGGCAATGGTGCCTTAAGCCTCTATATTCGTATCCTCTTATTACTTCGCAAACTAAAATCCATTAACAACACATGGAGTAGGGCAAAACGGATTCAGAAAAAAAAACAGATTGAGCGAAGAAATATGCACTCCTTTTCAGTTAGTTCCTCATCATCGGCTGGCTGGCTCTACACTAATATATAGTTTTTTACATCAAAATGTTTTAGCAATCAAGTGGTTATTTTAATTAAACAGTTTTAGGTAAAGCCGAGGAGGGAGGTGAAACTAAGAGGTTAAAAGTCATCAACACAATTGACTCACAGATCCTAGTAACAAGATATCTAAGTTCTTGAAGGAGGGATGAAAATTAATTACAAAATTCAGGATAATTTCAGTCTAAGGCATTAGCAACAAGTTATTACATAATCAAGAAACCTGTAAAATAGCAAAGACGACTAAGAAGAATAGGATGACTCAGAAGAAGAATTACATAAAATACAAACACTTTAATAGAATTAGCTAGAATTGTAAAAATTAACGAAGTCAAAAGATAGTTACAAGGGGAGGGGAAAACTTAATACATATTATGTAGTTGGCCAAAGCAAATAAAGTGGCTGTACAAATATCTTTTGAACGCACGGATTTGGTTATTCAGATAGATTCCGATTGCCTCTGTTGTATGTGTAAAAGTCGTACTCATAGACCATGCGAAATGTTTGGTGAAATACGATAAGTGACTTCCAAAGCTTTGTGAGAGTCGATTTGATATCCAGTACTGATGAGATGAGCTGGTAGTGAGCTACATGTAGGATGGGTGAAACAGAGTCAAAATTCTAAAGAGCAATATAGGTTGGTGGAGAGGGAGGTTGATAACCATATTTTTGTTCGTCGAATAAACTACACCCAACACATAGTTAAATAGAATTGACTCAATGCAAATACCAGAGATATGGAAAACATTATTACCGATCAAATCAAGAGATGAGAAATAGTGGAACCATATAAACGAAGTTGGGAAGTTATGTGAGTAATACCTTGACATGATTATGAGTAGTAGTAATAAATTGTACTGGAAACGTGGTTATCATCAGTAAATATTACTGTATAACGCCACTGTGTGTAAATTTATCAAAATAAATTTACCCACAATGGAATTATACTCTATCACAGTGCATAAGTTTATATCAATGATATATATATATTTGAACGTAGAAGTCTTAATTGTCCTAACCTAAATGTTCAATATTAAAACAAAACTAATCTTCTCGTCGAATTATTCAGTGTTCAGTTGTAACAATTTTAGAAATAATAACAAATCTATCCCACCAGAAAACAATACTTCATTTTCAAGCAATGTAAATCAGAATTACACACTAATCTCTAAAAAATAAACAACAGTGGTTGCCATGGCAAATCTTATGCTTCATTCTACGCATGATCACTTCTCCTAGTCATAATCGTGAGGACACTTCGGGATGGGACAGAAAAGAACAACTGTTTCATACAGCCCAGGTAGATTAAATCACGTAGAATGTGATGTGTGAAAAAAATGTCTCACACCAGTGCCACTCTCTCTCACACTCTCTCGTTCACTGTTCAGTATGAATAAATATGGACATGAGAATTGTTACATTTCTCACAATTATGTCAACAGAACTTTCATTAACAATACCCTTTCACAGTAGCAATCTTCACATTCAATTCCAATTACACATGCTTATCGATGTGTGTGTGTGTGTGTGTAAGGGAAGTGACCAATGCTGGGAGTGAGCACCACCGATTAGAATGCTGGTTATATGTAATGACAAGACTTGAAAGTTTGTTGTTGATTACTTCACATCAACAAATCAGGAATGTCGATCTGCGATAGACACACACACGCACACACAGACCTACAAACTCGTTCAGATCACATTGTCTCCACTAAATCATTCTAACACGCCTCACTGGTTCATTGCACTCTCATATTTCTACCTTCCCAACAGTGTTAAGAGAGATCTCAATTGTTGTCATGTCAAAGATCTGTGTTCTCGCACCACTCTTTATTCTCAATGAATCCATGTGAATTTCAACTGCAAACCATTTTGAGTGTGGAATATTTAGATGTATTGCATAACGATATTGTGAAGTGGAGAATCCACGATGGTCGATCAGTGTGTGTGTAAGTGGCCAGTTGTCTGTGCATTTGTCAGCACCACCGCTGTAAATAAATACGGGTATTTAGAATTAAAATAATAGTAATAATAATCTGCTTTATTCCAAAAACAGTACTCACAATACAGCATGGAATTCTCAGCATTTGTTACAATATTGCATCTTATTTACTCAAAATATAAATGAAAGTAACCACAGGAACTCTTCCGCATTTACAGTAGGAGCAATGTCAAAAATGTGTAAAGTACAAAATGAGAATATTAACTATAATAATAATAATAGTAATAATAATAAATGGTTACAGGATTTCATCATGAACTGATATCGGCCACAGAACCATTGAAAAACCTGCACGGAGTACTGGACAGCTGTCTCGTCCTAGTTTGCGACTCTTCAACAGTACACACCAACTAACATGGTTCGAACCTACGAACTTCTGGTTACATGGCTAGCGAGTTCGTAGACCACTAAGCCACTGGGATCCGATCCAATGGCCAGGCTATGAATTCTAACTTTTACCAATTCACAACATTGGACTACTGCCACTAGCCAATGTCATCGCTGGTGAGTATTTGTCCTCACTCCCGATCTTCTGCACCCCAATGGTCGCTGTTTCCCACTAGAACTCCGGGTCACTACCTACCTGAATATGGACAGTCGCTAGTGAGCATCTCATAGTAGTAATAATAGCAGTGGGTTTGTTTCAAACATTATTGTCGATGCAGTAAGGAAATTTTAGCATTTTATAGAGTATTGAATCTAATGTTTTCTTCACATAGCATGGTGAAGGGAAAAACAAAAAATAACTATTACTACAGACCTTAAATGATGTTTACACTAATGAGAAAATAAACAAAAAGAAGCGAGAGGATTATGAATATAAGAAGAATAATAAAAGTAAAGCTTGGTGGAATAAGGATGAAGAAAATTGTTTATTTTCCTAGTGAAAAGTTTACTTAGTTGGTTCGTCCCTGAAACTATTTTCATCACATAAAATACGTACCAAATATGATATCGTGGAATTTGTTTGGTACCCCGGTGTCCTAGTGCTCTGAAGAGATAACTTAAAATGTGTTGTGTCCAAGGGATTAGATATTCCCGTGTTTCACGCATAATATTCTCTTTCCTCATATAAAGTGACATTTCTTGCTTCTTATAAACATTCAGAATTCTGGGAATTTCAAATTAATTGCCTTTCTAAAAGTGTGTACTGAACCTCCAGAAGGAGGAACCATTC